ATAGCTTTGGCTCGGAAAATTATGAACCTGGGTTATTACTGGCCGACCATGAATGCAGATTGCGTGGAGCACGCGCGAAAGTGCCATGAGTGTCAGGTTTTTGCTAAGCTGCAAAGACAGCCTCCGGTCAGTCTAAATCCTATTACTTCACCATGGCCTTTCGCAACTTGGGGCATAGACGTGATCGAAAAAATTCATCCAATGGCCATCAATTCATCCTAGTTGCTGTTGACTATTTTACCAAGTGGATTGAGGCAGCTTCTTATTCCGTTTTGAATGCCAAGAAGGCAGCACAGTTCGTTCGTACCAACATCCTTTGTCGGTACGGAACACCATTTCACCATTGGGAGATTCATCACGATAACAGGATCTCACTTTCAAAGTGATTTCACACCTATAAACAATAAAAGATTCAGATCACAAGTCTTCGCCCTTATCCCCACGACGAATGGGGCGTAGAAAAGCTGTCAAAAGCAAGGGCTATAAAGGTCATTTGCAGAAGACAGTTCAAAAGCATTAGAGCTTGGGCACGAACAATTGCCAAATGCGCTTGGGGGAACAGACTCTCAATCAGACAGCCTACTGGGGCACCCGTATTCTTTAGTATATGCATGGAAGCAATGTGGCCTATTGAGCTGGTAAGTTCGTGTCGGCAAGATTATCCAGGAAAGCCCAGATCAGCGAAGCAGATTGGGCGAGATATTCATTCGCAATCTGGGTAGGATGAAAGCGATTGCGAGCAATCCACAAACTCAAGCTGTATAAAGAAGAATGGCGCGGCATTTCGATAAGAAGGTCAAAGACCGGAAGTTGGAAGAGTGGGTTATGTTTTGAAGGAAATTAGACTTGAAGGAAATTAGACAACCAATCGTAGACCCACGTGGGAAGTTTCGTCCTCATTGGGCTGGACCCTATGTGTTAAAGAAGATTTTGTCAGGCGGAGCAGTAATTTTGACTGATTTGGATGGCTTGGAATTTGCTAATCCGTGTAATTTAGATCAGTTAAAAAGATATTTTGTGTGATTGTAATTATTGCATAATGTAAGATAAACTACATTAGACCTGATTCTCTTTGGAAAAAGGAAATTATATATCGGAGATATGTAGGCAGCCCTCATTGGGAGCGGTCTAAACATTAATAAAAAACTTTGCCAAATTAAAAAAAAAAGGTATGTAGGCAGCCCTCTTTGGGCGCGGTCTAAGCATTAATAAAAAAAACACATTTCAAATTTCATTCTTCTTTGCCGAATAAAAAAAAAAAAGAGAAAAGAAAGAACCGCTAAGTTGAAAACCCGAAAGGGCGGCTTAAGCAAAAGGGGGTAGCTCGCTAAGCTGAAAACCCGAAAGGGCGGCTTAGGCAAAAATTAGAGCCTAAATAAATAAAAGTTGGCAAATGCTTGGAAAGTTCAAAACGCCTAATGACAAAGTCAAATAATCCAGAATCAAGCAAGAGAGTCCAAAATAACTAAACTAAAGAAAGTGTAAAGCATACATCAAAAGATAAATCCAAAGTCCCAAACGAAAGGCAAAACAAGGAAAAATCACAAAAGTTCATAAGAGTCTAGGTATCCCGTTGCCTCCGCGGAGCGGCATCCTCTGAGTCTTCTGCTGAACTCTGCCCAGCCTTGTCTGTCCGAGGGGCCAGCACAATCTCCTCACCTGTCCCAATCTCCTCTTCAGCATCAGCCTGAACCCAACCTTCGAGAACACTCAGCAGTGCAGTCCTCCTTGGTCTTTCAATCGGCCAGACAGCGGTAATGAACCAGCAGCCCGGTATCGGGAAAGTCTGAACTCCACTGGTAGGATCGAGAAAGTCTCACCATGCGGTGAATCTCTAACCCAAGCGTTTAAGAACAGCTCGCGGTAACACAGCAGTTAAGCAGCATCAGCCCGAAAATGTCATCCATATAGGGGACAATCTGTCTATTCCCATCTTATGCCTTCAAAATGCGCGAAAGCGCCGTAGTACCAAGTCTGTGGGTAAGGGCCTAGGACGGTAAAACGGGAGAATGGCGGAAGCTGACCTGAATGAAGCGGCTGATGTTGTACCAAGGGATGAACCACAGTATCTCATTTGGACCTAATTCAACCAACCACGAAGTCCATGTGTCAATAGAAGGATGCGAGATCAAGATTTTTCGCATGCGATATTGGGAAGAATTGTAAGGAAGGGAGGTAGGAGCAGCCACTGCTTGAAGGTGATCCTTCAACCAAACCTGAATAATGGATCTTTTCCGTTATAACAAAAAAAGAAGAAGAAGAATGAGGTAGGATAATAGAAAAATACCTGGAGAATGATGGGGGAAACAGTCCAATCATCGAACCCTAAAGCGGCTCTGTCGAGCCCTAAAGCGGCTCTGTCAAGGCTTCTAATGGTCTCTGCCAGCACAACACCGCCAATGCAACCCATATCCTCCATTTGCCAAACCAGCCGAACCATGGGCAGAGGCGCAAATCCCCAAAGCCTGGGTCCTGGTTAAACAAGAAACCAGCTAATAAGCAAAAGACTAAGGCCCGCATCTTCAGCCTCATCCGGTTTCGGTCATCTGAATGGACCTCTGAAAATCATCAATCAAGGGCAACAGAACTGCTTTCTGGTCACCAACAATCATGGCCTTAGCTTGTTGTCGGCTGAACTGAAACAGGCTTTCAAACGACCCAAGTGGCTCAAATGGAACTTAACTATACCCGAACTTTCACTCGTGCCTAACCAGGGAGCATTGGATTACACCCTATAATCGACAAATTCCTCAAAAAGAGGCACATTTCTCCGATTCCATAGCCCCAAACCGAAAAACGTTAGAGCCTCAGGATCCCAAAATCTAATACAGCGCTCGCAAAAAGTCCCAGTCACACTACTACGTCCCTAAGTGATAACAGGAGAATCCGTACCTTTCCCCAAATTGATCTTCTTCATACTTTGGAGAGAACTCCTGGTCGCAGCTATGCCTTGCTATGGTTTGTTAAAAGGGGTTTCATGTTTCTTATTCTTTTATCTATCCTGTCTTTTATTCATTTTCAAAAAAAAAAAAATAATAATTAAATAATAATAATTAAATAAAAATACAATACATAATAAAGCGTCAAAAAAAAAAAAGATTTGGTGAGAGAAGAAAACTGGACCAAAAATCAGCTGCTTTAGGCACAGATTCCGAGAGTTCAGAATGGAGAAAAAGGCTGAATAACAGCCGTTTTTATTTAGAAGTCGCGCAAGGGCGGCTGCCCGCGGCCCTCTTAGGGCGGTATGCCCACCTGGATGGCGCGGGGCACGCCCGCCCGACATGGGCAGGGCACGCCCGCCTTGCCCAGGCGCCCATGCCCGCCCCGGCAGGGCGGGCACGCCGCACCGGCACCAGGCGGGGCATGGCCCGCGCCACGGCAGGACGGGCACGTCCCGCCCAGCCCAGGTGGGCATGATTCCGTACCTCCCCAAATTGATCTTTTCAACTTTGGAGAGACTCCTGGTCCAGCTATGCATGCTATGGTTGTAAAAGGGATTCATGTTTTTTTTATTTATTTATTTATCCTGTTTTTATTAATTAAAAAAATATAATAATAAATAAAATAAATAAATAATAATAAGAAAAAAAAACAAAAAAAAGGGGGGCAAGGTGTGTTTTTTTTTTAAAATTGGATTCTCTTCTGTTCAAATCTAATAAACATGCATACTTTCAGTATTAATCAAATGCAGGTACAAATAAGTTAAGTACAGAAGTACAGGCCAAGATTCGGTATAGGAAAATAAAGAGGAAAGAAAATAAAGGAAAGCAAGGAAGTCTAGCAGCTATTAGCGGCGAGACCTCCTCCTCCTCCGGTCGTCAAAAGCCTGCAGTGTCCAAGCTGAAGTTAGGTTTCCTGCATCCCAAGGATTTCCATCATCTGACTGATCAAGCCGTCAGGCACCTGGAAGTCACACAAAAAAAATATATATATATATAAGTCAATATGCATACAAATCTCTTATAAATCCTTTTATGAGAGATTTATCAGTCATTACCTCATTAATGCCATCAGGAGGAAGAGCCAGGCGATTCACGCGCTCCAGGGACACCTCTCGAAGAAATGAAGTACCCTCAGGAGTGTAATAGGAAATGATGTATGGAAGGTGCAAATTGGCCAAGCCCGGATGGACTGGCCTGGTAGCTTCTGAAATAGCCTGGGGAATCCTGAAGGCACCAGCCGCATGGCTGGGGCCAGCTCGAGACGGACCCTCCACCGGAGTAGAAGAAGAAGGATGGGACAATAGGGACGTAGGCCTCCTTTTGGAGTCCTGGCGAGGAACTGAGCCCCGAGAGGAACGGGTGCCGAGCGCTGGAAAGGGGTCGATCGGGGAATTGTCAAGCAGAGGATGGGCCGCAATAGAAACACCTGCAGAATTCGTCATAATCTCACGCCCGGATCAATTCATATGTGGGAATACTTCAGTATGGGGCATCTGTAAGAACATTCTGTTTGCCCGCTGTCGCATGGTCCTCAGGCAGGAGGAAGAGGAAGCGGAGGCGGACAGACCTAACCTGGAAAAGTGCACGTGCTGCAGGTAAATAACGTCTCAGAACGGGATGTATAAGACAAACCGGCCGTCGAGATATGAGCCTCTGATCGCTGAAATGGGGTCGCCTTAGTCCAAGTTGGAGTCGGGTATTCATCGCCCCTACTCAGCCTGTGTCAGGAAGAAATGTGTTCCATAATTTTATTTTTTTCGCACGACCTATAGGGAAATTTAAGAGGGCACTCGCTGCTATGGTACAGTACGAAGAAGCTCCGCAAATCCCTCAAGATTTCTGGGTGACAGAATGATTGTGTTAAGCTCGGTACCATTCCAAGCAAAGGTAGACTAGCAAGATCAAGTATGAGTGCAGCTCTGGGGGAGGTAGGGAAAAATACTCAAAGCCAAGTCTGCAAAAAACTGGCATTTCTTAGAGCCCTTGAAGGGAATGGATAGTAATAAAAAAAAAAAAAAAGGGGGGGGAAAGAAGGGGAAAAGAAGCACAGGAATGAGGATAATGGCTCTTTAACATTACTCCAGAAATAGTAGGTCCGCTGAGGCTTTACAGTGGCCTCGATCAGATCGAAACTATATTCATACATGCAGGCTCAGCTTTTAGCACCGGCCCAGTCGTTTAACTCAGTCTAAGATGGCCAAGTCCTCCAAACTTTCATTTCTCCTTCCTGTTAGACCAGAAGGTCGAGGCAAAAAGCAGCAACAGAGTGAATCTAGCTGCCTGAGTGGCCATTAACTCTCCCTGCCTGTGTCTGGCATAAATGTCGGGGGCTTGGAGGGATAGCCAGTGTCTCGAAATACTCAGAACAGGGGCAGAAGAGCTAGGATTTACAATTCGAGGCAGATCAATCCCTAGCAGCTCCGTCATCCGATCGGGGGTGACCTCAGTCCTCCAATCGTCATATAGCTCGATCAGCTAAGTACCAAAAGGAATCCCGGAAAGCACCGAAAAGTCGGTCGGGGTCATCGTCATCTTACCCAAAGAGAAATGGAAAGTGTTGGTGGTGTCCCACCATCTCTCGGCTAGTGCACCCAGTAGGCTTTTATAATTCTGTCTACTCAGCTCAAGGTGTCTTAAAAAGTCCAGATGAGAGGGACCGATGATGGCTCCGACCGAGTTGTTATGGTCGAGAATGTCAGTCGGGATCTCGGCAATAGAAGACTCGCCTACATCCAGCCTAATGTTTGGATCCTAAAAGGTAAAATGGCACAACATTATTCTTTAGTTCTTTACTAAGGATAATGTCTCTTTTCTCCCCTAGCATGCATACTAATAAGACGGTAAGTGCAGGAAAATAAAATTTGTCATCACAATTTGGCCTAAGGCCCGAAAAATCACAATTTGGCCTAAGGCCCGAAAAGACTAAGGCCCAAAAATCACCATTTGCCTAAGGCCCAAAAAATCACAATTTGGCCTAAGGCCCAGAAATCACAATTTGGCCTAAGGCCCAGGAATCACAGTTTGGCCTAAGGCCCAAAAAATTATTATTTTTCGGCCTAAGGCCCAAGATCACAATTTGGCCTAAAATAATATGCCAACAAACCAAGCGTACCTGGGCAAAAACGCCGGTCATAGAAGCGTGAGTATCAGCATCCGCCATGAAATCGACATCACTAAAAGACATCTCCAGAGACTCCAGCAGATCCTCGTCGCTACCATAATCGGAGAAAGCCATGATGAGAGATTTGGGAGAATTTGAGATGATGAGAAGATTAAAATGAGAGAGGAGCCTTAAGGAGTAAGAGAATGAAAATGAGTGAAAAATGAACACTGCTTTACAGCTATTTATAGAAACAAAGCGAGACCCAAGAGAGGCAGTCTTCTGGACGGTCTATTTTTTGCCTTACACCACAATTTCGCTGATTTCATACAACCCACAGTAGACTCCTAAGAGTCATTTTAAACGGGTAACCGGTGGGAGGGGCAGCGGTGGAATACTCAAACTTTTGACGGCTCAAGAGCCACTTTTCCGGACTGCAAACAGTCCGGTGCAGACCAGGGAGGACATCATTCAAAAAAACGTTCGCCGGAAGTGTGCCAAGTATGAGTACTGAAAGGTGTCGAAAAATTAACGAGGATCATGGAACTGGTCTCGGCAATATTTTTTGGAGGTCCGGAAAACTCCGGAAAGGCCTCGGAACGAAATTAAGAAAAGAAAGAAGGCAACACAGCATGCCCAGCCCGAGGGTGGCATGCCGCCCAGCATGGCGGGCACGACGCCAACATGGGGGCATACCCGCAAGCCAGGACGGGCGCGCCGCCAGAATGGCGCGGAGACACGCCGCCACCAGAATGGGCGGACACCGCCCGCCCTAGCTAGGCGCGGCACGCCCGCCCCAGCCTTGCGGCGGACACACCGCCGCCCGGCACGCCCGCCCACCACAACGGCAAGGGCACACACGCCACCCAGCACACACACTCATGACAGCGGCACGCAGGCGCCTGGGGTCAACTTCAATTCCTTCTCACTAAAAGCACCGGCTCCTCGGCCGGCTCCGCATTCTTGAAGACACCTCACGCTCTGTCCGCTTGACCGGGACGCTCCTTCTCCTAGTCTTCACTGCGCAAATTCTTAGTAACCATACTGCTCTGGGGCATTTTTTTTCGTTTTTTAAGTTCTTAGGTTCCCTTAATCTATTATTTTTGTTCTGATACTTGTCACTTAAAATTAACTAAAATTAATTCCTTAACGAGGAAGCTTAAACCTGCGAGCTACCACGACCACCGCCGGCCTCACGATATATATATCAGATACGTTCAAGACTTTACCTATTTAATCTTAGAGCACTCATGCAAGCTATCTTCCACTCCTAAAACAATTCTCTCCCACCACCTGCATAATGTGCATTCATACCATCCAGGCGCATGTAAATTGCTCAATTACAAATTATGATTTCAGCCAATGCCCGGTTAATTAATAATATAATCGTGGTATTAAAGCTTAAATCCGACAATATTGGCTTAAAATATCTAGTCTATCAATGGCTATGGTATGATTGCCTTTGTTTCGAACAATTTTCAGCTTAAGTCCAATTAATCAATAATTGTGACTAAAAGGCCTTAATTAATCACGTTCTTTTGGCATTAAATTTTCCTACATTGCAGTTCATTTAATTACTTTAGGCAAATAAATTGCCTATAAGTAAGAATAACCAATTTTTGGCAACAATTTGCCTAAATCAACCCATTTTTTGGCTAAAAGTCTTAGATCACTCAATTTTGGCACCAATCGCCTAAATAATCAATTGTTTTGGCAATAATTGCCTAAAATTAATCTTTTTGGCTAAAAGTCTTCGAAACAACACATTTTGGCTAAAAAGCTTTTAAATAACCAATCTTTTGGCAATCAGATAACATATTTTGGCTAAAAAGCCTTTAAATAACTAATCTTTTGGCAATCAGATTGCATAAATCACAAAACTTTTTTGGCCAAAGGCCTTAATCCATTTTTTGGCAAACCATTAAGTCCAATCAACATTTTTTTGGCAAACAAATAAGCCCAATCAACATTTTTGGCAAAATGCCTAAAACAATCAATTTTTGGCAAAATGCCTAAACAAAAAATGCACAAAGCATTAAACATTTCATTGATCCATCATTCACCCTTGCAAAACACTCATTCATCGGTTAGTTTATCAGCATGACATAGTCTCGGGATCCACCTCGATTTCGTAGATTGTGCCTTAATCATTGGGATAATTAATCTAGTAACTAGGTTAATTAAAAATGGAGTCATTCAGGTTTTTTTCCTAGTTTACCCTAAAATAATTAAACAAGGTGGCGACTCACACACTCACGTGGCGACTCACACACATCACGTGCATTTCTTCCCTAGTCACATGCATTCATATGCTATGATATTCGGGGTAGGGGTTCACAATTGTAGGAATACAATTTGAGTGAGGAATGAAGGGGCTTGCTCATTGAAAAAATAAATACAATGATTGGGAGTTCGTAGCTCTCCGAAACAACCAAAAAAAAAATCTAGTCAAAAAGGAAGAGCCTAAGGTTGCCTCTGACTAGGACCCGCTGTCGCCCGCCTAACAGAAAGTGGTGGAGGTGGTGGAACATCGTCAGACGAATCATCATCATCATCCTCCTCCTCTTCATTTGAGGAGTCTAAGGGAATCCCCTTAACCTCCAGCCTGGTACGGAGCCTGTCGTTCTCCATCTGGAGACGAGAAATGGCAGCGCCCTGGTGGGTCTGGTGTCTCCGTAGCCTGCCGATCTCTAACTCCTATGGAATAAAAAAAGGGGAGAAGGGTAAGAGAAGTACACAAAGCAAAAAGCAAAAAGTAAGAGAACTGTACCATCTCGTGGTGCTCCGGGTATAATCTGGCAATGTAGGCTCGGGCAAAGCAGAACCTCTGGTATAACTCCTGATACCTCTGAGCAGGCACCTACAAGTGAAAAACGACACTCAGTGAAGAATCCTCCAGGTAAGTATTTCTAACTTAGTAAATTCATTTTTATACTTACATGTGTCGCATGCTCAGGATCCAGCTGTAGCTATGGTGGAGTGTCGCATGCTCAGGATCCAGCTGTAGCTATGGTGGAACTTGCCTGAGATCAGCTGGAATAGCAAGGGTCGGTCCGAGCCCCAGAATAGGATCCAAGGCAACCTCCATACCTGGAGGGAAGGGGATATCACCCAGCACAATAACTATAGGCCCGGCAGGAACGTCAGCCTCTGCCTGCGTCCTATAGAAGGCAGGAGTCCGATGCCTCTTCTTATCCTGCAACAAGTCAGAGAGACCTAGTTAATCACTCAGTCAAAATGTTGGGAGCATCAATGATGAGGACAAAAGATATACCTGAGAATACTCTTGGACATCTGGAAGTCTAGTCCTTAGTCGGGTGGAGAGATAAGAGTTATAATCGC